CAAACACTGCCGGCAAGCGGTATGAGGAGCAGGATAAGGATATAGCGCGCTTTGACCACGAAGAAATCCAAAGGTGCGAAGTGCCCTGATCAGGGACGGTTCTATCGGCGATAGGGGTCAAGCAGTCTGTTTTTTGTCCTTTAATAAATACGTGTTCTAGCCCCGTGGTGGTCGAACCCGATGCCGACATCGAGGACGCGGCCAGAAAAATAATCGTTTCGAAGATGTTGAACTGTGGACAGATTTGTGTTTCTTCGGACTATGTGAGTGTTTTTTAAACGCTGTTTTACGGATGCCTCAGGCATCATGCACCGAATTAGTTACCCATGCAGGGCGCATCGTTGCTGGGGATTTCCCAACAGGGGGTCGTATTTGGGCTGAGAAAAATTTGTTTGATAGTTGATTTTTCTTGTTTCAGGGACGTTAAAAAGCGTAAAGCGGGTGGGGGAATCTGCTCGTTGTTGAAAGGAGGGCGGGGGTCGTATTTCCTTTCTAACCTTCTGAGAGAGCTCACTAACTTTTGTGGTTTTTCCTGTGCTCGACAGCTCAATGAGGAGGGAACCAGGGGGGGGGGGTCGTCGTACGAGCTCAAGCTAAATCCCCAACCAATGATGTCCCTGTACCATCGTTCAACAGCCAGTATTCTACAGAATCCCCTGAGATCCAGTTACCCGTTTGTTGATCCCACCGTAGCTATCAAAAGGTAGCAGTGTATTCCCATGTAGAAAAGATGCAAATTGATTACAACGAAGAGATTTCTAAATGAGCTTCGTATAGGGAGAGGCCATTAGTGAGTGCAATAAATCCAAGGCCATTGGCCTGGACCTTGTACCCTTCAGAAGAATCTCAGCCAGGACCCATCATCGAATTTACGCCCCCACTGCACCCCAATTTTCTACTTCGTGCCTCTTCTTCATAGGTTGCCTGCCATTTTGCCAGTTTTTTCAAACACGAAGTGAGGGGTTTCGGGACCTTCTGAAGGTCGCAGCATCCGCGGTGAACAAGACAAGATTCAGTAGTTTGCTTTGCCCCTATTACGGTGGGAAGGGGGGGGGTGCAGCGCTTGTGAAACGGGAAAATCAACATTCCTCCTCCCCTAGCGGCTATATACGCCCATCCGCTGCGATTTTCATAAAGGCTAATGTGTGCTGATCTCAACGAGACCTACCAGTCGAAAAGTTACCGATTTGTTACTTTGCGTCAATTTCAGGTACTCACGACGGAAGAGGTGAAGCCAAAACTCGTGGCTGCTCTCGCAAAGTTATTCGAAGGAGAAAGCTCCATTCAAAGAAAACAAGGAATTCTCTCGCATTGTCAATGAGAAACACTTTGAGTGAGTAATGAACTCCTAGGAAAGTGTCAGTGACAAATTTGAAGAGAAGATGGGCGCAATTCGGCTTGGGAGGGGCATCTTGCACTTTTGCCTCTTCCTTCTGCTAGTTCATGTCAACTAACAGCTCTTCTTTTGGTCAGACGTGTGAACCCTTGTGAAGCTGCGAAACTATTCGAGCGAGCAACTTTGTTCACAGGAATTCACAGGTCCTCGCAATGCGGCCTGTACATGTTTAGCTGAGTAGTTGAGCTGCTCTATGGTGCTTCCACCAAAGCGAACTGCGCCTAGAAGACGTATGCATGGCGCATTCTAGTACCCTTCACGTCTCATACTGAGAATATGATCCGTAATTTTTGTTGTATTACTAAGTGCATAATTTTTCAGCCGACTATCGGACTTGCTCAAGAACACCAAAGGTCAAATACTGTACAAGACCAAGGAAGAACCCAGTAGGTCCGAAAAGTTCTTGGCACCGCACGTGATCGACATCAAGAACGATGATGTCCTTATGCAGGAGGAGGTTCGTTTCATGCCATATCAGATTTGGCCAGCTGCCAAGGAATGATTTTAGATCTTCGGGCCTATTCTACCAATTGTGACAGTGAAATCGTTTGATGAATCAGTCGCATGGGTTAGAGATCATGAGAAACCACTTGGTGCCTACATCTTCACAAAAGATCCAGAAAAGGTAGACTTTAGACTGAAGCTCAGTCTTTTTGACTCACCAAGAGGATAGGTGCTGCATTCACAGCGGCGTGCGGTCGCGTCGCGTGTTGTAGTGTTGGTATTAGGCCATACTTCGCGGTGAGAGCGATTCTGTGCGACTGCTACCGACAGCGTTCCGACGCTAAACATTGGACTGCTGCAATTTATGGTTTAACTGCTTCTGAATGTGGTTGAGCAAGCAGTCGTGTGGATCCAACAATTAGCGGTGGCGTTCAGTCTTTTGCAGTCGCGCGACTAAGTCGCTCGATTCGCGATGTATGAACGCACAGCTTTGAGCGGCAATGATCGTCCAAATTCACATTGTGCTTCATTATATAATTAACTTGTTTCGATTGATTTCCTTTTTTTCCACATATAAATGAGAACGACAATTTGACGAATAAAAACGGGTTTTGTTAGCATAAGTCATAATAAAACTGGAAATAACTGATCATCGCCGCCAACCTCTTCATAATCATCACATGACACGCGACGCAACCGCGGCTCTATGCCACGCCTATCCTTTTCTTGGGTACAAAACCGGTAAACAAATACGTAAACAGTGCAAACTATTATTTAGGCAAGACGCTTCATAGTGGAGACTTCCAGTGGCGGTGTAACAGTGAACGATGTCATGTCTCACTCGTTTGGTAAGTTTTCAGTAAAATAACTGCGACCTGCCTATGAACATTAGGCTCTTCCCATACGGGTAGCTTCCCCCCTCCTCTCCACACCACCTCCAGCTACATCTGGCGCAAAACACGCACGATTACAGAGAACCTGCCACGGGTAAACGACTCGTTTCAGTTGCACGACTTTTCGAAAGTCTAGGGTGCAGGACCGACTCTCTCAGTGCACGTCCTGACACTATAGAAGAATTTTGTAAAACACTTGGTGCGACCTAATCCCCCGCTTGTTTATCTTATCCACCATCTTCAGCTG